AAAAATGTTTAACTAAAGTGCTAATGCAGCAAAGGGCTCATGCGTTTGTTGAAAACCTTACTGACAAGTGAGCTGACCCTCCACCTTGCTGTTCCTGCGAGTCAAGGTCTAATGTAATCAGTAACTAGCTCTCGGGGATGTCGCAACTGATACAGCTCTTGCGAGCCATGATCTAAGCGTGTCAACTCCCGTCTCTAGGGATTCTACTCGCTACTATGCACTACTACCTATTTGGTAACCATCAGTTTTGTTCAGACTCAGCAGGGGCGCGTGGCTACCACACACAATGATGTGGATGAGAGTGGGAAGCAGGGACTGATCATCCCTTTGTACGTGCAATGTTGAAATCATTGAATCTCTACGTATTGCGCTGTCTCATTCAGTGTTTTGCAGTAAAGGGCTACTGCACTCGGCGACGATGCAGTAAAGTGTAAAGTGCTAATGCTCCGCGAGATCAACACAGAAAGAAACTTTGCTCTTTAGAGATCATCCATCTAAAGTGTGTTCGTCTCGCACATCTAAAGCCAGACTACGACTGCAGAAAGTTGTTCTACAGCCGCCGAAATGGAACATAGAGCACGGTTCCACCTAACAAGTTGATTTCGTGGCAGGCTGTTGGCTTTGTGCAGATGTTGTGAGGAACAGCAGCCCACAAAGCCAACCGCGGCAAAAAAAAAGATTCACTGCCAGGAAGTGCAAGAGAGTATGATGTCAAGAAACAGTAGGGCTTGAAGTTTGAAGCGCAAGGTGTGTGGGACGGTTGGAAAAGAAGGCTCATGGGTTAAAATCTTGCTTTCCCTCCTTGCTTCCTTTCCTCCTTATTCATAACACTTTGTATCCTGAATCTTTTGGTTGATCCTGATCATTAATTTAATCCTTTCTATAACCTTTTTGGATATTCATGCCTGGGTTATATAAATTGGGAGGTCGCGTGCTCACTGATACTTTGTTTCCCATGGCCGCGTGCACGCAGAAGCCTAGTACAACCGCCCCACAATGCGCCACATCATTTGGCCATTGCACAGCGCCACATACACACACACTGTCTACAGGAGCTTTAATTAGCTTTGGCTACTTAGATACTTCATGCGCACAGCCCGAACAAGGCCTTCAGAATTCTCCGACTCCATTCCCGCATGGGCGACAGACTGCACCCTTGTGCTACCCTGACAACGCGTGCCCTAAAGAATAAAACGCGACAGCGACGGACTGAACCTTCTACAGTCTGCCAATCCGTTCAGAGGTCGGTTCCAAGACCCTCATAGAACTGTGCAGGCGACCACCCTCCTAGCCTTGGATCGGACATCGGTTCGCGCCGCCCGGCGACCACCCTCTAGATCCCTCGGAATCGCTGCTCGGTCGTTTCGCATCTTCAGATTTGGTTCACAAACAGCGCAGGGCGATGCAAACCTGCATCAGAAGAAGCACGGGTTTCACGGCCCGCACACGGTGCACACGTCTCGCATCCTGCCACGGCCCGCGGTTAGAGCTTTACCCCTGACTGATCTCTTACACACTCAGGATCACGCACACATCGACTGCGACTTTTGGTCACTTGGAACTTTCTCTTTGAAACGTCCATTTGATCACCACAAGATGCTGCACATCTGTATGTTATTCTCCAATTCGAGACATCAAAAAAGCAATTGATGTTGTTTTGATCTAAGATCAAATCACTTTTTCTTTTGAAACCCAAGCTACCAGATGTCACAGCCCCCGCGAAGACCCCTGTGACCCGAGCACCCTCTGTCAATCCATGAGCAGCCGTGAGCATGAAGGGCAGTGCCACATAAGAGATATCTCCAGGAACCAAGGGGCGCTTGTCAACCACCAACTTCGTGTACAAAAGCCTGATGTAGCTAACCATGAGACTTTCTGTCAATGCAGTTGAAATCGGCAAGAACAAGTTTGCCGCCACCGGCTGTCCCGCTGACAGC